CGGCTACCAGCCTCGCGTCACTTAAAAATAAAGTCCTGGCTAATCCAGAAAGCTCTCTATAGTGTCGAGGATATTTTCGCTACCATCTACTTGATGTATACATAATTTTCATTCAGAATATCTGTATAATTTTCACATTATAACCTGTAATTTATTATTACCGAAAAAAAAATATTTTGTATGTAATAACTAATCTTATTAAAATTTATACGAGTAAACCTTTGTCACTTTATTTTTATTTTATAACGCTTTATAAAAATCATTACAAAAAAGGTTAAATAAACTCCGACTAAACATATTAACACTTAAATTATACAGTGTTGCCTAATTTATTGAATTTTGAGATAAAAAAGATAAATTAATATTTGATCGTCCGGCGCCAGAGTATCATTTTACACTATTTTTATTGGCAAAGAATAAGTGTTTATCAATTGATTTTTGTCATGATATACAACCGGATATATTCTGGTTTCACATATAGAAATTATCATATAATTGTCGAATCAATAAAGCGTTTATATTTTATCTTTTGTAGCAGGTTTTTAAATGATTGTTTATAAGAGAATGCGGATTCACGGTGACGACATTGAAGCCATCGAAATTAAAACAAATTGTCTAAGAGACGGGTTCTAACGATGATTACAAATGCTATGAAATATTATTACAGTTATCTATCAAGAGAAAAATTTTTATTGTTTGTTTGTTCTAGCTTAAAATCCATTGATGTGATTAAAAATCTTTGTAATAGAAAATCGTATCATAGAGGTCAATGACACAATTTGATCTATAACAAATAACTACTGTAATAAACAAACAAAGGATACGGTATTATCTTAACGAAATAATTACTAATATCCGCCTTAACTAATGTAGATATCAGATAACAATAAATTCCCAAGTCTACAATTATCATGAATATATCAAAACTTACTAACGGCTATTAATATTGAGCATAAGACACTCGTATGTAATTAAAATTATGACCCAGTGCCTCAATTTAGTTAGCGGTATGCGCCCAGCCGGGTAATAAAACTACGACTATGATATTTACTATATCTCTTAGTAAATTCTTACACTTCTATGAAATTTATTAATTAACATAAAGATACACACAACTTGTTATAACAAGGTAACAAGTCTAAATTTACACGACAATAAGTGAAGTACCGTCTACTTTAAATGTTTCGATCTTCTCCCTATTGATGACTTGTTAAAATTACTTTGCCTAACATAAATCATAACTAAAATAGTACGTACGGTTCACTGCAATCCGTAAATAAAACACATTATCAATTAATTTAAATAAAGAAAATGTAACAATATAACTGACCTATCGACACTCCATTTTAACGCCCGGTGAACTGATAATGATCAAAATGGCGCCCAAAGCGTCACCAACTGTCACTGAACTAAACGAGCGCATTAAAATGGAACGGCTCAAAGGTAATGGACATAAATTAAATAGTCGTCCATGTCAGTCAAGGCAAAGGACTTAAAGGTATACGCCTTGACGGAAGCCAGGTAGTTAAGATTCGAAACAAAAATATGAGATAACGACAGTTAAGATGTTAAATTTTATTAGTAACAAACAAAGTGGACCTAATTTACGTTCTCCTGGCTGCGAGATAACAGCGGCGTGCGGCTTTATTGATGACGCCCATTCAAAACTGTCGGATTTAAGTTTTACATCGCCTTTGCAAAAATCCAAGGAAAAATTAACGAAATTATTTATTTCACGATTGTTTTGCCGTCCATTTATAATGTTTATCGCGCAAAAATCAACAGATTATGAAACGTTAGTTATTATTTAACTTTTTGTTGCGTAATGGCTACTGTACTGTCTTCAAAAAAAAAACACTCAACGCTACCACCGCTTCTACTATTGTCGAACTAAAACTTTACTATTAAATGACAACAAAACGAGTATAACTCATCCTTGATTAACTTAATAAGTTCCCAGGATCTGTTTCATAAATCTTAGTTTTTAATAGTAAAAGTGATTTGTGCTCTTTATTTGATTTCTATAAAATAACAAACGATTCTTTTATGATAGCAAAACGCTTTGAGTCGTAGACAAATAATGTATAGGTTTACTTTGAGAAATATTTTGTAAAAGCCAACGATAAAAATGGTGTGCATTATTCTTCCAAGCATTTTATCTTTAACAATGGAAGATCAAAGTCGAATAAATTGCTACCCATTTCTATACGAACACTAAAACAGCACAACACATCGGTTACGAGTAAATTACTCAAGCTTAGTGCTCGGAGGCAAACAATGAAGCGATAAACGCGAGTACCGTAGTGGTAGAGTAGGAAAGCTACGGTGTATCGACAACAGATAAATCAAAAGACATAGAACGTTACAGACGAGAAGTATTGCACTTGGGAAATATATGGAGGGACGTTACGCACAGAACATCAGTGCATAAGTCAGTTTTCTGTTACATAAAGTACGAAAGTTCGTGGAAATGGAACGCAGCTAGAAACTTTGTGTGTACCTGCCGCTGCATCTCTGTCTTGATTTATTCGTAGGTTCCAGTGAATTACGACGGCGCATGTTCTCTATCAAATCGTTATCTTTTGCACCCGAAAACTATTTCACATCCTTCGTTTAATCGCAATAAAAAGTTTTTCGACGTATTTTTGAAATCACAATACGTTATCTGCGGCAGTAGAAAATGTTTAACGATTCCAGTAATGAAACAAACTGATCTGACGAAACTAAAATTTACTGCGAATTTCTATTTTACGTAGGGACTAATGACGAAGGTCTTTAGTCAACAATGATCATAAAAATCACCTATCAAACTGTTTCTTAAATTATAAATTCCATAAATGTAATATTTCTGTGCAATATTTCGTTTCTATCTCCTGCAAGTAAGCATAAAGTAGATAAGCTGCTGTTTGTCCTTTCTTCCAAAGTTATCGTCAACAACTCAAGACAATTATCTCAATATATGGAACACAAATTCTTCCACGACATATTTCGTAAGTATAATCTTAACTGCATCGGAACAAGTAGAGAAGAAATCAACTTTATTGCGCATTAAATTAAAAATTATTTCAACAAATAACTCGTCGGATTATATCTTATTACATTTCTGTTCAAATGTTTCATAATCAAAATTCTGCATAATTTTACTAAAAGAACACAGTCTACGCAATATAGATTAATTTGCTGAACAAAGGTGGCTAAGGCTTATCGAACATAAGGCACATTTAAAATCTAGCTAGCCATAACAATCACTATATAAGCTGCTGTGTGCTGAATTTTCAGTATAAAATATACAAGAACATGTAATCACTGCAACTGTCGACAAACGCGCGTTAAAATTGTCTCGCGGCAACAGAAGGCATCGGGCACCCAATCTCTAACTGCGATATTATCACCCACGTGCGCAGTTCACAGCCATACGTGACTACACCGACGTAATTAGACTTGTTCTCATGAACTATGTCACTGTTCACAGCAATATGGAACACATATATAACAGGGAAAATAAATATAAAAATATACTGAACATGTTCTATTAAAAAAAAAAAGTTTATTAAACGGGCAACAATTCTTTAATCACACAGAGTAGTTAATTGATCATTAAGGAAGACCCTAATTGATAAGGTCTAGGAAATTTTCTAAGCTATTGTTTTAGGGATGATTGTAATTTTTACAAGTTTGTACCGATAAATAACAATTTTTATTTTACTTACAGTAAAATTTATACACGACCAAATTAATAGTCATACTTAAAATCGTATGATCTATCTGATTTCTCCATACTTGAACTATCTGATGTATATTTTTTTCTTTTATGTCTTTTCTTTTTCGTATTTTCTTGTATGTTCGTCTTTTCGAGTTTCCTCTTGTGACTTAATTCCGCTTTATCCTCTTTTTCCTCACCAGTAATCTTCTCATCATTTTCCTCTTGTTTAATTGGTTTTACAACGGTATCACAGCCTTCGTCGGGAGGCAGCGGGGGCTTTCTGAGTAAATCCGCGACATAGTTATCCCTTTCTATATGATATCCTCGAGCCAATTCAAAACCTGTAAATAGTACACATTTAAATGCCATCGTATTATACGTTTACATACAAACCTATTTGAACATTTTAACAAATTAATAATAGTTATAAATGTGGAAGGGTACACGGGTAGAGGTAGGCCTAGAAAAAGATGGATGGATTGCGTGAATGTTGACATGATCAAGACGAGTGATGTCTAAGATGACGAATGATAGTTATTTGGAGGACGAAAATCCGGTGCGCCGACTCTAAAGGAGTCGGATAAGGTAGAGGGGATTTGCAGACAAACGTTACTTACGTCTGATGGCTTCTGCGGCGGGCACTCCGAGGCGGTCTCTCATGTATCTACACACCATGTACCCTGTCCGGTTCAGACCGTGCGTGCAGTGGACACCGACCAAGCACTCTGGGGAAAAATATTAATATTAAAAAAAATTATGACGATTACCTCACATATTAACACATGTTACAAATATGTATGCTAAGGTTGTCTAATCGTTTACAAAGGTTACTGTCTATTAATTTCGTATTTTAATGTATGGATCTAAGCTAATGCAGTTTGATAAGAAATGTTAAGGAATAAACTGTTTTCAGTTTAATTCAAAGATAAACTTAATACTAGACGATAACATCTTAAGTAATATACTTTCATATTTTTGCTCTCGCGTAGCGTCTACAACACAAATAACAAAGTGAGCAACGATCGATCGACTAAACGGTCCGCGAAAAATAAACCAAAAACTCGTTGTTTGTGTCTTCACAATCGCACCGCAAACATCGCGCGGGGGTCGTTGACTGCAACCCCTTACCCCAAGCCGGGGTGGACGACAGGGTGGGGGCGGAAGTCGCGGCACGCGGTTTGACACTTCCTCGGGAAGACCTTTGAAGTACTACGAAAGATGCACCCACGGTAACGAAAGTTACAAAAATATTACATGAACATTCTAATATTGAATTAAATAAGTGAATATTTTTTTACAAATGTAATTTTGTTTTAGACTATTATTAACAAAGAATTGTATTTTTATGTACATAATTCTTTAATTAATTAAACTTTAAAGTTAGGACGTTTAACATGTCTTTTTTATTTGTAAAATTACTGTTTGTCAAGGTTTTATATCGACACTAAAGATTATCATCGACCGCTATTAAAAAACTAACAATACGATATTCCCACGAGGTACCTGTGTACAAACGGCAATGCATTTACGTTTACACATGCAGATTTATGCCAGCTCCGAATGCGGCTTGCAGATTTTCATTTGCAACAATCCATCAAGACGATCTGGGTGGCTTTACCCGCAAACTTAATTAGCGAGTCCGTTTTCAATTATACAAACAATAATATGATAATTTTACTTGGAGCGTCGACATTAAAATTTTAACATTTATGAAGCTTAAGGTCATTTGGATAAACTCCAGGAATTGACTGTTGCAATTTTAATAAGATTTGTTACAAAGATACTACTAGTTACATATTTTATTAGGATAAATGTAAGTTCTTTTTTTCGAATAATAGTGATGTAACCTAATTAAAATTCAAACTGAACTTCAAGGGAATACCCATTATAATGATGTCGCGTGCTGTAATATTTATCTTTTTGTGTCATCATCTCAAAATGTAAAACAAAAATTAAATTGAGCAAAACTGCAACAAGGGAGATGAATCACAACAAATGCTCTTTTTACGCTAGTTAAGATATGTAGAATGCGTGAGGTAGATCCTAATCTGGTGATTACGATGTAATAGTGCCGGGCGTAGGTGGGCGTATCGATATCGATTCACCGATCATTATGTATCGATTGTTGACAATTGATCGGCGACTCGATGCGCACATCATCTCGTACTCGTATGATAATATCGATGCTGCCAATCATAATACTGTCTTAGATACATACAGTAGAGATAAACATAAATATAAATTAAAGTAATACTTTAGTAAGAAACGGTATTAAAAAACTATTTATTTTGAAAACATAAAAATGAAATTATTAAAAAAAATTCATTGATAATACTTGTTTGATTCTGTTGTAGTTTTTGGTCGCGTCATTAGCGAGGTCTAAAGCTGATGATATTTTATTATTTTGATCATCGTATTTATTCGTATTCTAGGGTTGCATTTACATACCATCAATAAACTTGTGTCGTATTATTTGTTATTCCAAAATATTATTTTATTCTAAAGTCGTCATATAAGCGTTAGCATGTTTGTTGAAGTAAGTGGTTTGTAGAAACCGAATTTCAAAGAAAACATCTTCAGTTAAGGAAAACAGAAATGTGTATTGAATTCTATTATGATTTGGCCGCTGGAAGTTTCCGTTTCATCGAGTATTAATGTATGATTTGATTGCTAAAGGAAATGTAGGCACTGCTTTATTGTCGTTCAAAGAGAACACTTTCTAACGCTTCCAAGTTCGACTGGTAAGGGTAAACAAAAACAATGGGATAATAGAACTTAAGCTGAAGACTAAAGATTAATTTAATTGTCACCTATTATAATATAAGAGTCTCAAAGCTCGTCAACATCTTTAGTGTATTTTACCGCCGCCTTTAGGGGATCTTGACACATATTAAATTCATAAAACAGCAAATAATGAGAGCATAAATAAACTTAAAAAAATACGAGTAATTTATATGGTAGTAAAATATATTATGTAAGAAGCGATGGACGATAATGTGAGTACCTGTCGCACTCCCGCCCTAGGCCTGCACTGGGCTCGTGTTACCGCATTCTGTTAGCGCCACGCGTGGGCAGAAACAGATTTTGACTGATTGCCTGTTTAAAAATTACCGTCGCAACCCATCTTGTTTTACTCCGCTGATGGTAATATGAAACTAGAAATTGTTTTCTATTCATCTAATTCAATTTCAAGCTTGATTACAGATACGGATTATGAAAATATTTACAAAAGAAATGGGATAATAGTTAAACAATCGCTGTAATATTGGGAGGATTGCTTGTAGTAAAAACACATATTAAAACACAATTTGAATTAATCTACATTTAACGAAGTATTTTACTAAACTTAAATGAACTTTTAAGTAGCAAATAAAGTAATTTATTTAAGCATAAGTTGCACACCGCTATCTACACCAGACATGGCGCCTCATTCAGCGATATTTGTTGCAATATTGCCTTCGATGCAAAAGTGCAACTTTGTCCTCCGCTATCTCACGGACTGTCCCAATATGTTTCTAAGGAAACCATATTTTTAACTTGCAAGTCAACAAACTTATCGACCAAATTTAATGCGAGTTCATTTCAGTGTGACGCAAATACGATATTTTCAAATGAAAATAGCGAAAAAGAAGTTTTATTTCATTGCACATGACTCAAATATTGCGATACTTACTAGAGGCTACAAGTGGAACGTGGGAACGCGACTGGGATGCGATAAAAGACTCTAAAATAAAACGTTACACGACAGCTCAACAAAACAAATATTTGACAAACAGTGACCATAAAATTTATATTGGCTCGTATTACAGCATCATCGGTAAAGTGGCAAGTCATCTGTCCGTAACGGGACTGTAGTTCATTTGTCATTCCCGCAATGCCGAGTGTGTCAACCTCCGCTGGCTACGTCAAATATCTCCAGTTTTAACATTTTTCATGACTTTACTGCTTCTGTTTATAATAAATGTAAATTGAGCATATTATATCTATTTGTATAGTTCGTAGATATCGTTTGTCTTATGGTGTTCGTAGAACGATTTAATAAATACGAAAGGAATCGCACGCATAGTCTTTAAAATCAAAGACCACCCTTGGCGGTACAAACGGTAGCTAGTGTCGGACCGCGGCTGCGCGTGCGATATCGAGTAAATCAGGACACGGGTGCGATTCTCGGCGCGATACCAAGTGAAATATGAATATCGTCGCTTTACAGCGGCGCGGTGCGGCACCACT